TTATAACTTGAGATCCAAGCTTCTTTTGATAAAACTTTGTGAATAAAAGTTTTAGATTTTGTGGAGGACTACAACTTTCATGTTGTAAGTTTTGTTTGAATCCATTTTCATCTTGGTGAAAATGTGGGACAAAGTTAGGAAAAATTAAGAAAATTTCATAACTTAGAAAAAATTCCAAGTTATGAAAATTTTCAATTTCAAACCCTAAATTGCAATTTTGGGTTTCTTGGTGAACAAGTTTCATAAATTGACACATATTGATGAAAAATGACCCTTGGCACTTGATTTTGACCAAAAAGTCAAAGTTTGACTTTTCAGTGTACAGTCAAATTTTGATCAGTTGACTGAAAAATTCATTTGTCAATCCTATGCATTTGAGATCTTTTGAACTTGTTGAATAGGTCAATATGATGTCATTGAGTCCTTGAGTCCATGGTTGAGCTTGATTTGCCATTGTCTAGGTCAAACAGTCAAAAATTGCCTTTGTACAGTCAAAACCCTAAAAATGACCATGTTGCCCTTTTGGTGGTCTGATTAAATTTCTTATGGAATTGTGATCCAAACATGATCTAGTGGTTCATATGAGTTCATAATGTTGATGCGGGTCAAAATTCATGAGGTTTGACTGTAAATTGGCCACAATTGATTGTTTCCCCAATACAGCTGATTTTTAGGCCAACTGTCCAATTGACTGGGCAAAAATTTGATTCAAGGCTTGAAATTTGGTATGGACAAACTTATGAGTCCAACATGAAGTATGAAATTCACTTTGGGCATTGAAGGTCCAAAAATCCCTGTGCAAACTCAAACCCTAATTTAGGTCAATAATGCAAGGAGGTGTCTTGAGCAGAGCAAACCCTAGTTTGATCTTGAGTTCCAAGAGCCTTGTGATGAGAAATGTTGATAAAATGAGAGGGAAAATTTTGGGGTACAACAACATGCATCTATCTCATCCTTCCAATCTGTTTATAAGGAAAATAGATTGTACACATTTTGATTTAAAATTGGGAGAAAGAAACTTAGGTTGGCCAAGCGTTCGATTCATGTTCAGCTGGATTTATTTGAAAGAAATTGTTTGATGTTGATCAAGTGTTTTTAATATTTTTGAAAATGATTGATTTTATGACTAATCTTTGATTAATCATATAATTAATTTTAATCACTAATATTAATTATATTAATAACTAACAAATAAAATGATAAAAAACAATCAAAATAAAAGAGAAGGAAATAAAAAACGAGACAAAAGAATAAAAGGAAAAAGAAAATAGGCCATAAAAGAAATAAAATAAAATAAATCCTAAAATAAAGAGAGGGAGTGCCAAAAGGGATAATGGCGCGCTAAAGAGTAAATTGCAAAGGCCCAATGGAAAAACCCAGTCCAAACCAAAGTCAACCAAAGGTCGAGGGAAAATATAAGGGTGGAAGACTAGTACTCACAAGGGTATGGAACACACATAAGGAACACGAAATTAGGCCAAACAAAATAATTAAAATAAAAACCCTAAGCTCTAATAGCAACCCAGTCTGGTCAAAGACCACAAAAACAAACATGGTTATCAACAACAATCTACGCTACAAGTGAAAGAAGGACAAAGGAAGCTACCATTCAGGAAGTTACCAGAGTTAAGGCTTCACACAAGTATACTCTTGATTCCTTTTCCTCTCTTCTTTACTTCTTCTTGCTTCTTCTCCTTTCTATCTTCTTCTTCGTGCTTGTATTCTTCCTGCTTCTATCATTGTGTTGTGGTGTTATTATTGTATTTTTTCTATAGGCTTAGCTTGTTATATCTAAGCTTCATTGTGAAGCTCTGAATAGTTAAGGGTTTTAGAGCTTTGGTAGGTTTTAAGATAATTTTTGCAGGGATTTGTTATTGTGAATTGTTGATGAACATTGAAATTCTAGTATGACAGATCTCAGATGTCCTTAGAGGATGTTGAGACATCTGATATGACACAAATAACACATGCAAGGTATACACATTAAAAACAATAATGAAAAGAAATAGCAACACACCAGAATTGTTAACCCCAGTTCAGAGCAACTCTCATACTCTGGGGGCATACCAAGCCAAGGACAAATCCACTAATAGTAGTATCAATTCAAATCTAACTTTCCCGTTTACAACTTATCACTAATCACCACCTTCTCTAGATTTCTATCTAAGACTCACCTAGATATGAGGCCCTTCTCAATCACTCATCAATCACAGATAGCGATTGGATCAACACAATTCTGAATAAACTAGAAGACACACTTTCATGACAATACATAGTTAAGACTCAAGGTTAAACTCCCAGGTTTACAATATTCTCTTAACCAAGAACAACAACTTGGATTTGCTTCAAATCTTCCTCCAAGAATAATGCTCAACTCATTACCTACATGTTTTTGAGGGAGAACATGATGACCATCCTATAACTCGAGTGGTTCACCTTGACAAAGCCCTAAACTTCTACATCTTGAACCCGTGCCAAACTAGGTTACAAACCCTTCTATTTATAACATATTCCCAACTAGACTTGGGCTTTCTAATAACAACAAATTAGTTTTTACAAAACAGCAGTAACTTCAGCTACAAACAAGGTCTTCAATCATTAGTTTCCTAAATAATCTCAATATTTAGAAACTGTATAATCTTTGATATTCTGTCTTGACTCTCTTGACCTTTAATTCAGGGTTTTCATACCCCAAATTTGTTGTATCCTTTCACTTTTATCTGGCTTATGCATTTTTCACTTCTCATTTCATCTGTATACCTTCCATTAGGTCATTTAACAAACATCATGCATTCATTAACCACAAGGCTTAGCATGTGATCAGGAATTTCGAGGAAGGCTCGCATCTTCATGCAAGCTTGGATCATCAGGTTTCATCAATAGTCAGGGTTTGAATCTAGGGTTTTGGTTCAGTGTTTGTGGATTTCTTCTGCATCAAGATACAAGGTCTTCTCCATCCAATTTCATCAAGGTTTGGTCTTTTGGATCAAGGGTCTTGGGAAATTAGGGTTTCTATTACTTTGAGGCTTTTCTACCTTATTCAAGATGAATTTAATTGGTTGCTTTATCAAATATGGTTGAACTAAGGTTTTGACATTCTTCAACATGTTAAGCCATCTTCTTTGTCATTAAGCTTTTAAGAAAACTCTCAAGGTTTCATCAAGGGACTAATTGAGAAGCTGGGGTTTGGTTTATTTCCACCACCTCAAGGGTTTCATGTCAAAGAACAATCTTGGTGGTCATATTTTTTCTACACTTCAAGTCGTACCTTCATCTTTGAGGATTCAAGGCACAAATATTTTGTTGCTCGTTAAAGTCAAGGCATGGTACGAGATATGATTTGTGGAGTCACTGTGATTATGACATAGGTGTTTTCCCCCAATTGCTTATAGTTAGTTGCTTGAATGACAAGTTAATGAGGGCTGAGATTGTTTTATTTATTCAAATGTGCCAAGAATTCATTACGGCTAAGTCAGGTTGTTGTTTAGGGATTACTTACGGCATCAACATAGATTTGTCAAAATGTTAATTCAAGAGTGAAATATTAGAGAATTATGTGGACTTCTTGAAATGTAAGTAACATGGCTTATTGAGCGAGCTAAGGTTTCATTGAGGTGAATATTGGTTCAAGTGATTCCAAGATACGAGGTTTATTAGAGTTCATTAAAAATTCATTCAATTAATAAAATGAAAAGGAAAATTTAAGGCATCAAGGTTACCAAAGTTCAATCATCATTCATCACACATTCAAGTCCACAAAATAATATCCATATTAACATTTCCACAATCAAAAGGCCTAAAAATTCATTTCTATCTTTGTGAATACACTTCACACCAAGGACCATAAGCTTCTGTTCATTACCTTTGCCTTGAAACCAATTTTGTCCATTTAATTCAATATCCAAAATCAATACAATTTATTTGTTCTATGATTAACACAAAACCTGTATGAATATAAACTACAAAATTAATCTAAACAATGCCAAACAGTTCCATGGATATGAACCAATTTATTCCCAAAAACTGGTGCTAAACTACTTGCTATAAACTCATTCATAAACCACAAAGAAATAACATCGTAAAACACCAAATGATCTAAGCATCCGAAGACATTCATGTCCTTTTCATGCCAAGACCTCTATGATTTACCATCCTCCTGTCCACGATTCAAGCTTCTTGTCTCAGAGATAATTCTCCGTGTTGCCTCCATGAGTTCAATTACCTTGAATCACACTCCCATATATACCCTTGATCACTGACATTAACACATACACAACCCGACAGAGATAATGGATACAATGTTCAAAACCAATACAGTCCCGCATATTGATTCTTGCAGCCAAGAGTGATTCAAAAGAAAAAATTAGTATAACAATACCTGAAATAGAAAATCATTATATCAGGAAATCAGAAATAGAGAAGGAATTTTAGAAAGCCTCTAACCGTCCTAACCAATGCCAGCTCAGCAATAAACAGAACCAACAGAATTTCACAACAACGAAACTAACATCCAACATATAACTAATTCAAAGTTCCAGCTCATAAACTTAATACCATAACAGAAAGCTAACTGAAAACAGAAAGTTAACAGAAAAAACTAAACATAACAACCCTCTAACAAATTTCAATCCAGCCCTCCATCTTATAACCAACTGTCACAAATCCAAGGGTTCTGAATTACTCACCTGTAACAAACTTCAGATGATATAATAGAAATATCCTTCAATTGCTTCATTCTTCAATTCTCATAGGAATCACGGCCAAGAAAAACCATAAAAAGCTCCCAACATTCACTCTCACCTTTCTCTTAGAATTCATCTTCTACATTCTCCCTTTAATCTTCAACCTTCACGCTTCAACCCCATCATTACCTTCAATCCTTCACCTCCACCTTCCACCTTCATCATCTTCATCTTCATTCTCATCTTCATCCTTCCCCAAGTCACTCGGGGCCTTCACTCCCTATTCCTCTTTTAATCTGAACTCACGCTCACTCCTCTCTACACCACTGCTGACCCTCTCAGAAAATATTCATCATCCTATACAAACTTCCACCTCAGCAACTGCATCAAAACCGTAATAATATCATCAAGAAAACCGGTTATTCACCTTCATCACCAAGGCATCTGCATCTTTATTACAACTAACACAAAAGCTCTGCATCAATGCTTTCCTGTCGTTCTCGCTACACATAACAATAATAACAACTTCATCACAATTGCAACATACACAAAAAAGGAAGAGTGAAGAGTGAACATAAGGAAAGAGCGCAAGTACTTTTGATTTCCATCATCTTCATCGCGTCGAAACTGAATCAGAGGTCGATGTTGAGACTTGAGCCGTATGAAGTCTCGTCTGGACGGAACCGAGTGCGATTGAAGGAGCAAGATCTACAGAGACAGAAGAACGCTAAGGCGAAGGTGACAATTGAATCAAAATTGCGACTGAGAGGACGAAAATGATGAGAGGGCTGTTAAGAAGAGTGGAGGCAGATTCAGATTGGAATTAGACAGTGAGAACAGACGGCGGCATAATTTTGTTTTTTTTTCTTCCGGAGAAGAGAAACTCATATTTGGAGTTTCATGTGAGGTCTCAGTACATTCTTGAACCCTAACAATCCTCCTAAATGCACCGTTTCATGATACTAAATCTTTCTTTCATTGTTTATTTAAATTAAGTATTTTCTTATTATCTTTTTTAGTATAATAGTAATATGTTAATAATAAAACAATAATATGCTGAAGGATCTGGTGATAATATTGTTTAGATTGGTGTTTGGGCCTAACAAAAAAGGCTATTGAATTCATTCTGGATTGGGCTTAGCACCAGAATCCTGAACTGGTGAGCTTACCACCCAGATTCCAGCATACACCCCCTGACTCTTCTAACTTCTTTTTTATTTTAGTTTTTCTTTTAGTTTAAATTTTTCTCTTAATTGATAATAAAAATGATACAAAAATATTAGAACATTTTATAATTCTTTAGGACCTCTCTTTAAAATTTTATTAGAGTTTTCTATTATTTTCATGTTTATTAATAATTTTCGTTGTCATTTTTAGCTAAGATTTTGTGATAGAATGTTGATGTAACTTTTTCAATGTGGAATGTTGGAGATTAATTCATTTGATCACTTGTGTGAATCAACTTCTTTAGAGTTTTCTTATTGCTTGCATGGCTTTGAAGAGGCAACAAACCTTCTCTGTTAGGTATCACTGTGACTTCATTATTCATTTCTGCATTTTAATGCTTTCTAGAGATCATGTCAAGTAGGATTTTACCGCTTTCTTTTCCATGAGAAGTAGGAAATAAAGAGCGTGCACTCAAAGTCTCTATTTAAAGTCCTCTAGCAGGCACCACTTTCTGTATGCAATTTGTGTTTGTTTAAAACCCTACCTTTGAAGTAGGTATTCCGTATGTGTGTTTACATTTGTGTCTGTATTGTTCCCTCTTCCCCCATGGAAGTCCTCAAAAGGAGGTGAGCAGAAAGGTTAGCAATCAATCCCCACAATTTCGTCTGTGTCATCCTTAGCTCATGACGCACCATGATGCTTCAGAGTTGTGCCTACTCTCGTTATCGAGTCATCAAGTGGAAAAGGGTTTCACAATCGGACCCCTACACTTTGTCAAGAGTTTGCATTGGATGATGCTGGCACTCTGTGATTGTTCATATTGCCTTCTGTCTCATACCTCAATATTCTATATCTTAGTTAGGTGTTCAGTCGCTTTGGACATCACATTTTTGTTTTTTATCTCATTTCCGCTTGTTTTCTTTGGGTGATCCACTCCCCTTAGCTAAAGCATTTCTCTTCTTTTATATTTTACTCCTGCTTGTTTGTCTCGGGTGATCCAATCCCCTTGACTAAAGCATTTCACTTTTTTTCTTTACCATTTTATGTGTGTGCTCTTTCAAGTTTGTTTGCTCACTCACTTTCTATACCATGTTCCCTTAGGATGTACTTGTTCCTTTCGGATGCAAGTTAGACCTTAGATTATGAACCATGCATAATAACATTAGACATACGTTTCCATTTTTCTAATCCAAACCTTAGGACCATCTGTTGTACCCCAATTTTTGCCCCTAAGATCCCTTCATCATACCATGTTGAGTCATTCACAATAAGATCACATTAGGATTCTTGGTTCCCCTCCCTATATTTAGCTTTGCTCTTTGAGGAATCACCAAGCACCTTAACTTGTGTTCTTTTGTGATCATGAATATTTTTGTCTTGATTTCTTCTCTTAATTAATAAAATGCAATTTGGGTTTGTCTTACCTGTTAATAATGTAGGTAAAGGCAATATGGCTTAGCAAGTTGATCCATGGGTTCATGAGTTTATTTCCATGCCCTAGTCAATAAAGCTTGAGAAGTTAAAACCTCACCATTGAAGTTGTTTTGGAAATAATGGAATGGCAAGGTTATTTTGGTTCACCATATTTCAAGGTTATCAAATTTGATCCAAAAAAGTGCAAGGGGTTGATTGGAAAAAAATAGTCATGTTTGGACAAGACTTTGTTCCATTTGGTCACAAGTGCACATCTCTCTCAATTCTCAAGATATGGAATTGGTTGTGGTTTCTATGAGATCTCATTATCATCCTCAATAACTTATATTTACAAAGCATTTGTATTGGTACAAGAAGTTTGTTCAAAATTGTTAAAGTTCCTCAAGGCATTTTTCTTGATCTAGGAGCTAGGGTTTTGAATTTCAAAGAAGTATATCCTGCTCATCTTTTTGTATTTTTGAGTAATTACAAATGCATCCTTCTCTTCAAGGGGTTATCAACAAATCACTTCAAAAGTTCCAAGGAGTTTTCATGTGGAAGAAACTTGATGAAGAAAAAAGATTACAAGTCCTCCAGATGCACCCCCAATTTCTCATATGTGACTTCAAATGATCATAACTTGGTCAATTTTTATCACCTTGAGCCCATTATTTTTTCACAATGATCTTGAGGATGTGAAATTTATACATTATTTTATGAGAAAAGTGAGAAAATGGATGGATGTTTCCTTAAGGATACAAAAGATTATAGGTCATTTCATGATTTTTTCCAACTTCAACAATTCATAACTCTCTCAATTTTTGGATATTTTTAATGGTTCAAGTCCCAAAATGTCATTCAAGAGATCTATTTCATTTCATATCTTTTGGTCAAGATAAAATTCCAAGAGGAAGGTCGTGTTTGGGTGCAAGACATTATATGTCACTTTTGAAGAAAAATTTGAAATATTTCTAAGTATGGAAAGTCAACCTTTTTCCCCAACTTTGACTCAATGGAACTTTCAGCTCAAGTATCCATTTAATTCCATTCTTTTTACATTGCAAAGTATGTAATCTCATATTTCTAAAGCATCAAGAATCATTCCCTAAGACACCTTGAGCTGAGAATGCCATGATCTTGAAGTTGGTAACTTGGAACTAAAGTTTCATCACAAGTCAGATTTTGAAATCTTTGTTTTGGCTTATAATCATAAGTTTTCCACGCATTTTTGCCTCTAAACATGCTTAGTGAAGTTCTAGAATTGATTAGCACAACAAAACGCGCATTTTCGATGAGTTTTGATCAAATTAGAAGTCACACTTTTCTTGTTTGCAACTTCACACGATTTCCCTCCAAACTTCATCATTTAACACGCTTGGACATTCCATTTGATTCCCTATAAATAGAGGATCATCCCCCATTCATTTCCTCAAGCTTGGATATCCAGAATCATCCTGCCAAACTTGCTCCATAACTCAAAATTCAGCAACTTAGAAATCCATTCTCAAGCCTTTTTTAATCTAATTTTCCCATCAATTCACCTTCCTTGATCCTCCCTGAAGCTAACCATATAATTACATTTAATAATCGTTCCCTATATTGTTCCATAGAAGTCCAGTTTCAGAGCTCTGCAACTCAACTTCAATAGGTATATTCCTTCATCAATTCTTCAAAACTTTGATATCATTGTGATGCTCTCATTGCCCTGGTTCTAGTCGCAACACTTGCTTTTTACTGGAAACACATTTTGACCATGAAATTTCAAATCCCTTTTCAAAACTTTCCTTCCAAATTGCTTGAGCTACAATTTATATAAATTTGTCGCGAAGGTGTGGTTGTCTTCGTCTTGAAGAGACGAAGCGAATGACATAGGTCTCGTGCTCTAATTTTACAGATTGAGCAACATAGTTTTGGGACTGGCTGGAGGTTGAAGATGACCAACGTGTCACCTTCCAACCAATGAAGGCGCACCATCTGTGTTTTTCAAAAATCTGATTTAATTAATGATCTTATGCATTATTCACTAAAGTCCATAACATGCACAACGCACCAGGTCCACGTGATCTGTTTACTAACGCGTTTTGACATTGATCAGATGGCCCATATTCTTTTTTTTTTTATTTTCTTTTCTGATTTTCATATTTAATTGTTTTAAATTTCAAAAAACCATAGAAAATTCATTTTTAGTCCAAAAAATCTGGATTTTTTTTAATTATTTTCTTTATGATTTTTATTTTTTCACAATTTAATTTTGTGTTTTGGTAATTTTTTTTTATAGATTTTCACTTTATTTGATTTGTTTTAAAATGTTTAATATTACTTTTATGCATTTTTAAATTCTGAAAAAATTATGGAATGATCCAATGACATTGTGACCAATATTGATGACCTTATTTTATTTTTGTTTCTGACTTTGTTATTTTTGTCATTTTTGGTTTATTTTACTCATTTATTTTAATTTTTAAAAATAGTTTTTGACTTTAAAAAATTACCAAAAAATTTATAAAAATATTTGAGTCTATTTCTGATTTTTCTATGGTCTTACATTTTATATCTTGATTAATTTGAATATAGTTGATATTTTTCTCTTTTATTTCTATTTTAAAAACATTTAAAAAAAAACCTTTTGTATATATTAAATGTAATATTATTTTGTGACTATTTTATGGCTGATCTTGGGTAAAATTTTTTGATCATGAACTTTATTAACATCATTGGATCCACGGTGTTGAGTATAACTCTACAAAAATGGATGAATGATTTTAATAATAGTTTGATTAAAATTAATTCAAAAGTGGTTTTTTTTGTATTCTCTCCCACCCCTCTTCATCTCATCCCTTTCTTATTGCACTAAGTGTTATTGGAGCATGATCTCTATATCATGTCTCAAAATAAATGGCGCATAGATTGCTATTGACCGGCCTCAAAATAGGTGCGACTTCCATATAAGTCCACTTACGATTGCTTAACATAGCGCTAAATTTTGTCCCGATTCGAATAAATGATCATTCATGGCCCAGACTTATGTTTGCAAGCCCAAGTATGTTAATTTGATCTCTTTGATCCAATAACCTTGAGATCCATTGTGTGGAGGCTTTGGTTATACCAATCCTCTAATGGATCTATAACACCTTTGGTTAACGCATATCACTTAAACACCGTTGATCATTAAATGGTACTTATGAGGATTCCAAATGGATGATATAATTGACAAAAAGCAAATGCAACTTGTTGTGTGGAGGCTTTGGTTCTACAAATCCTCTAATGAGTTCCAAATGGAAGTTTCTAGATGATCATCCAACTAATCATTAATCACTAATAATTGACTTTATCCTGTATTTTTATTATATGCCCCTTTTATTTTTTATGCACTATTTACTTTTAGCATTTACATTTCATGTCATTTTAATCTTTGCTCACTTGAGCATTTACTTTCTTGTCATTTTTATTTTGCTCACTTGAGCTTTTCTTTTCTTTTCTTTTCTTAAGATACCTAATAATCAATATTAACCATAAAATTCTTAATGATACTTGGACTATTTGGTTACTATCCTTGGCATTATGGAGCATTGGACTTCTTGGGCTTAGGATTAGAAACCTTGACCTATGATTGGAGACCTTGTGACCTTATCTGATTATTTTGTCTAGAGCTCTTGAGGTTTACCTCAAGACATTAGGTTGCTTGTTTGTTTTGTGTGCAGGTTATTGTGATTACACTCTTTGTTTGTAATCTTGAATTCACCCGTATACAGCCGCTACTCTGACCAATTTTTGTGAAGACTTAATACACTTGAAGTTTGGTTCTTTTGAGAGGTCTAATATCTTTTCTTTCTTGGTTTCAATCCAAAGAATTAGAATTCTATATTGACTCATAATGTCAAGTGTTGGCTTCTTGTCGGTTAGATGGTTCCTATCCTTAGCTTTTAACTTATGCTTTAGGATAGTCTCTTCTTCTCCTCTCATCTTCTTTAATTTCAAAAATCTTCTTCCTCTTTTTGAAAACTCCCATTGTTTTGAAACTTGAACCACTTTCATAATAAACTTGGACTTAGGTCCATGCCTTTTCAAAAACAATTTCATGAATAAACTTCAATCAACTTAATAACATTTTGACATCATTTTTTTATGAGAAGACTAAAAGTCAATCAATCTCATTTCAAATCATTTTTGCCACTTTGGCTTTCTTATTTTAAAAACCTTCCTCAAAATATTAGACTCTTGTCAATCCTTGTAGTGATGCAAACAACTATACTTCTACAATATGTAGTGAAGATAGATATTT